AATTATAATCTCCTAAATTCACGGTGCAATGTGTGTGTGTTCAGTCACTCAAGTCGTGTCTGACTCTCTGCTGCCCCGTGGACTGTAGCCCACCAGGCTCCTCTGTCCGTGGACTTTTCCAGGCAAAAATATTGGAGTGGGTTGCCATTTCCTCCTCCAGGGGGTCTTCCCAGCCCAGGGATCAAATCTGTGTCTCTTGCATCTCCTGCATTGGCAGGCGGATTCTTTACCACTGCCACCACCTGGGAAGCCCTCATGGTGAAATGATTACGCATTTAAAGGAAGAAATATTTCTGCAAGTAGTAAAATAAGGGGTAAATCAAAGATAAGAAGAGGTTGAATAACTTGCAAGAGGTCATCTCACTGATAAAATTATATGGAGGCTTCTCCCTCTTGGGTGGTTCAGGGATATTTCTGTGGCACTGTGAATCCTCTTGTAGAAGTCAATTCTACATCAGGAAGAGTCTTAAAAATATTGATGACCATATACCTGTAGACAAAAGGGCCAGGGACAGAAAATCTCCACTGTATGGAAATTTTGGTAGCATTTTTGTGGTGGAATGACATTGGCCAAATATGTTGCAGTCTTAGGTGGCTACATACGTAACTGTATCTTTGTTTTTAAATTAAAAAAAAATTCAAATTTTCTATGACCCCACCCCATTTGGTTTTTTTAATAGACTGCTCTTCCTGCTTCAGTAGTCCACTGCAAGTCTTGGGGTGTGTGACTGGACTGCAGGAATGGTGGGATGGTGTTGGGTCGTGTTTATAGCATCAACAAGAGGCCTGCCATTGAATACACAAAACAAGGACAGGGTCAGTTGTCTTTTTCAGGTTTTTTTTTTTTGTTTCTGACTTATATATTACTCTTCAAGTTCTTGATGCCCAGCAGATGCAAGGCAGATATGTATCATGTGAAGCAGAAGGCACTTGCTCTCCAGTCATGAGGACTCTGGTTTCTTCGGCACAAAGTCAGCCTCGGCCTTCTCAGCCTCTCCAGACTTTCAGGCCAAGAGACGCTAGAGGCCCCCGCCCCCCCGCCCATGTGTGTTCACTCGGGGCTGGCATGCCTGCCTGCCCTTCCTTTACCCCCTCCCCCAGCCTTCCTTTAGTTCCTTTCTTCTTTCCCGCCTTCTCTTCTTTCCACGTCAGCCTGTGCCAGACACTGTGCCAGGTGCGGAGGATTAAAGGTTCAATAAAACCCAGGCTTGGCCTCACCAGTGGGCTGGGAAACCCCCAAAGGCAGCCATTCGGACATGGATCTGGGATGCTGATAATAGAACTGCAGTAACTAGAACACATAAGACAGATACTGAAATGCAGATGTTGTGCAGAAGGATTAACTTTGACTATGGAAAAAGAAATGGCAGCCCACTCCAGCCTTCTTGCCTGGAAAATCCCACGGACAGAGAAGCTGGGTGGGCTACAGTCCATAGGGTCACAAAGAACTGGACATGACTGAAGTGACTTAGCAGGCGTGGTTGGATCAGGGAAGGCTTCACGGAGGAGAAGTTGCACTGGGTTTTGAAGGATGAAGAGGAGCTTGCCAGGCTGACGAGATGGGGGCACAATTTCAAGGAGTAGGCCAGGGAACAGTTTGCTCTGCGGTGTGTCTCTCTAAGCATACTGGCTGGAGCATCCTTTGTTGGAAGGAGGAGAGCAGAGACGAGCAAGCTTGGAGAAGGAGGCAGAGCTCCGTTGAGCAGACATAGGGAAGCACACAAAGCTGGTGGCAGGTTAGCGCGGAGCTCAGCTTTGCGCTGGAGACAGACTCGCCTCTGTGGCCGTCATCCCTGCCTCCTGTCGCCCTGGGTCACTCCCCGGGGACCCCGAGCGTGGGGCCCACACTGCAGGCTGTCGGCTCTGCGAGGCGGCAGCTGTGACAACATCTGCCTAGGCGTGAGGATGGCATTTGGTGCCGGGGAGGAATGGAGAGCAGGCCTGAAATGAAACCAATAATGGGTTTTTTAAACATTTGTTTTATTGTTGCTCTGAATGCGCGCCCTGCTTTAACCCGGCGGATGGAATTCTATTGTGTCCGAGTCCACTGACACTGGAAGAGGGTTTTTGGTAAAGAATGTGTCAAGGAGAACGGGAGGAAATGTTTGAAGCTGCCCTTTCCCCCTGCCTGCGGGGCAGGTGGGCTCCTCAGAGCAGGGCTTTCAGAGCTGCGGCCAGTGGGAGGGGCAAGGGTTTGACTTTTGAACACAGGGCGCTGCAGGCAGGGAGATACCCCTTACATTGTGTTTAGAATGTTTTCTTAATCAAAACACGATGCCAAAAGCCCTTTCGAGGGAAGGGAAACTTGGGAACCCGCACGATCTTACTTATAAATAGCTCAGACCTGCTCAGCAACCATGCACTCCTGCAGCCAGCGGGAGCTTTGAAGGAGCTGTCAACCCATCCAAAGTACACCCTTCCCCAGTCATTGTAGGCAGAAACAATGCCACCTTCCCGAAAGGAAATCGGCAATAAAAACTCCTGCAGGATTTCCTACTTG